TGTAAAAATACTTCTCTCCAAAATACCACCAACTCTTAATGGTGTAACCTTATGTAAAGCCTACCTCTTACCCACAAGAATGAGAAACTTTAAATATTAGATTGTTATTTGGAATTTTCAAATTCTGCTATAATAACATTCTCAAGTATTTTTTTCAATCTTAAGAAATTACAGGTTTGGAGGACTTCCAATGCTGAAGCTCACAGTTCATAACCTTCACTTTTCTTTTCAGAACCATTAAATATACCTCAGATTTAAAAAAAACCAAAAACTCAATGAAGAACAATGTTCTCTTTAGAAAATAAGAAAAAAAAAAAAGCTAGTTACTAAAAAGTGGCTTGTTGATTTCACCTTTCTAAAGGATTTTCCAAGACATTTTAAATAACAGATGACTTTAGTATTTAGTCTGTCTCCTTCAGTAGGTGGGATTCCTCAAATTCCCTGGCATACATACGCCAGTACCTTTCATCCTCTCTGGGCAAATAACTGTTTCTTTAATGGAGCTGCAGATGACATAGATTAGGAAGTAGGTGCTACAGAACACTGTTTACCTGAGACTTAAAACTTGCTTCTAGGACCTATTCTAAGGGGCTTTCAAGCTGACACATCTTATCTTATCTAAATATTCGATAAAATACACCTCCCACTTCATAAGGATGAAGGTAATACACAGGACAAAAATGCCAAGAACTGCAAAGCTGCAGCAGATACTAGCTTTTATAAAAGAGCATTAAGATTCCACTGTGTCTTTAAGAGGATTTCTAGTGAGAAGGGAACATTTCTCCCTTATAAAGACTTGCTTATAACAATATTTTTCAAGGAACTCAGCTCAGATGGTACAGGAGACACATTATGGTCTACTGTAGCATGCAAATTCACTGCTCAGCACATTAAGGGAATACAAATATAATTTGTATTTCCCAAGACTTGCAGTTTCTGATTTTGTCTCCTTCCTTGTTCATCCTTTTCTTCACTCAATTCTTTTTTTTTCCTCTTTTCTATCTTTCCTCATACTTTATCCTTCCCTTCTTTCTTTTTTTTATTTTATAAGTTTATTTTACATTTTTACATTTTTTT